TTTATTTATTTATTTATTTATCCATTTATTTATTTTTTATTTTTTTTTTGTATATACATATAAGTTCTAGTAAATAAGTTTTGAAGTTACAATTAAGTAACAAGATAAATGTCGTGATATTTCATTAAAAATTAAATTGTCTTGAAATTTCATCAAGAAATATTAAAAATTGGAGAATATAGAATAAAAGAATCACTATTTTATATTTAATATATTATATGCAATAGATCATATATCTGAAGAAAAATTTAAAAGAATTTAAATTTGATCATAATCTCTTACCCTTTTGTATGGTTTACAAAGCTCCTCGGCGAGTAAATGGTGAATTCTCGCGTCCGTTAGGTCTTTTTTGGAAGGATTGTACTCGAGTTCCTGAAGATCGATATTCCATCCGGCCTCGAGTTGGCTGCAGCTGGGACTAAACAGAAAAAGAATGTGATTAGACCGCGTTTTTATTTAATACGACAATTGTCAGCAGGGAAACCACAAGAATTCCGTACCTTCCGTTAAAGTGTCCGGTATTACTATAATTACGGAATATCGCCGACATACTTTCGGTGCCGCTAATATTGCCGATAGTGGAGGCATTTCTTCTTATATAATCCAACGCATCTTTCATCGCCAGCTTCGAATAGGTCTCCAAAATTTTCGGCTCGGCGCCACAGTGATTTCTCACGAGATAAGGTCGTATAAATCTATTGTCGAATCGTTTAAACCTACGGCAAACCAGATCAAGTGCTGTTTTTACCGAAAGGATATAGAAAAGTCTGATGATTAGTTATTAGTAATTAGTAAACAATAATCACAATAATTGCAACTTTGTTATAATAGCTTTTTTATAAGCATGCAATTTTTTTTTTACACTAGAAAATACGATTCTTCATTATTTTTTATTTTAATAAAAAAACTTATGACAGTTTTACTTCCATTTCTATAAAAGATATAGATTCACATTAGTTTTATCTTGCTCCTGTTTATGCTATCGACAATTTTATGCAGATTATTGTTTGATTGATTTTAAATATTAGTGAGTTGAATAAATAAAGTTAAGCGTCTTACTTATCTCGCACGTGGTAGTTGCCGTGTTTTCCCAGAATATCCTCGATACCTGCCATCGTATGATCCATTATCTGAGAATTAAAAAAAAAACGATTATTTATTTTTCAGTTCGCGCGACGAACAAGACATGCGAGGTGTCACGAATCTAAAATATGAGGATTTGCTACGCGTGCAAACGCAAACGTAAGCAGAATGCTGTATCAAAGTCCTGGCGAAAATTGCCGCTATGTACACATTCTATAATGCGGCTTGACAATGACAAACGTTATCCTATTTCATAATTCGACCTTATTCTTCGTATCGATTGTACGGCTGATTCTGTCGTTTCGTCGAAGAAAAATACGTCGGGATTTGAGGGCTAACACAGGTTGGTCGGAGCGATAGCAATTTTTCAAATATATAGAATCTTATTGAATTTTTACACTTTCATATAGATTTTAATCGAAAACGTAAATCAACTCAATAACCTCGATCTTCGAGTTACGAACAATAGCAAACGTCTACGAGATGCTTAAATTGTGAAACGTACCCTCTCATGGATTCTCTCGTTCATTGTCGGCTTTCTCTTCTCGGCTCTCTTGACATTGAGGATCCTGACGAGAGGTTTGATGGTGATGCCCTAAAAATAAGAGCATGGACGTTAAGCCTGTATTTTGTCGCGAGATGCGAACAGGATTGTCAGTCGACGCCGAAGCGAAGAAAAGCGGCTGATAACACGCTCGATACAAAAGTGTATGCTCAAGTGTGTGCGACATATAAGATATTAGATTTCCGATCGATCGCCCATTAAAGACACACGCGCCGAGTTTTTTTTCTGTTTTTTTTTTTTTTGCAGCTTTTCTTTATCGGACTCTTTTGCCGCTCATTAATTGTCGATCAAACGGACGATCGATTTAGCGGCGAAGCCTCGATCTCTTCACTTTTCTCTTCGCGTTCTTCGTTCCGAAAATAAAATAACCTGTCGGAGAGAGAGATGCCTTTTGGTATGCACGCGTGCTACCTTTGGTCGCGTCTCAAAATACGCACGAATCATCTGTTCCGTGGAAGATTCACCGCTAACTGGGTCCGTTCGGTTCACTCGAGCAAGGTCTATATCTTTCACTTCATGGAGAAACACGCGCATCGTTATGCAACGAGTTTGCATCGACTTTTCTTGTATATCGATCTATGCCGTTCGCGATCATATATCGTACGCAATTTTATATACAATCGCGAACGTACCTGGATGAATACGGTGAAGTAGATGACGGCTATAGTGGTAGTGACGAACATTGGTTGCAGGGATACGTGTTTGGGATCTATGAGAAGCACTAAAGCGAACGCCACGGCGCCGCGTAAACCCCCATAGGACATCACAAACTTCTCCACTTTGTCCAATTTGTGCAGCCGGAACTGGTTCGCCAGCGCCGTGAGCACTATCACGCCTGAAACACACGGGATCAAGCGTGATTACAACTGTAATACACATCCCAGAAACTTGTAATATTATTTGATATATGTTACAACTAAAAAAAAAATTTGTAGAGGGATATATATATATAAACTGATTTTTTATTATATTATATTTTTAGATATTATATATTCTCGATTTTATAGAATAGTTCACATATATCTTGGTTTTGATTTTATTCAATTGCAAATGCATAATTCTTATCAATTAAGAAGATGCGCTAGCTAATATATCTAATTGAACGTTTAATGAAACAAACGCGTGGCATTTCGGGCTCGCCCCTATCATAAACTTTCCGCATGATCGAGCGACGAATTGTCCGGTTAGGAGAAGAAGCCATAAGTGAAGCGCGTCGCACGCGCTAATACGCGTGACGTAAGATGCTCGTGTAAGCAGAAGTCAATTGTCTTAAGTCCCATTATGATTTCATCGTTTAATCATATCGCCTTACATGTCGTTTTACTCGCTAGCAAAGCGATGCCCTTAACGCCCGTCCAGTTCTCGTACTCTCGGTCAAGGCCCGCGCGATTGTGTAAAAATTCTTCGACACGAATCCCCTATTTTTATCACGCTACACTTTTCTTCATTTCTTTTCTTGTAATTTTGTTTCAACTATTTTCCACGCTAATAGTTTTGCAAGTTGAAGTTATATTATTATTAAGAAAACAATTAATTAAATGAAAGCACCACACACACATACCATACAGAAAGTGAGAGCTTTTGTTATTCATTAATTTTAAAAAGTAATTCTTTAAACTCTTTTTAAATTTAAAAATAATTTTTTTATATTCTTTATAAACATTCTAAATGTTCCCTTTTGCGATTAAAGATAATTAATTATCTTTCAAGTGATTTTGGTTTTTTACTTAAAAAAATTTTGATTAAATTCTATAAGTTTATAAATTAGAATATCAGAAAGCAAATATATGCGTGTAGATTTTTATATAAAAGAGCACAGAATTCAAAATCATAATTAATTACTTGCGTGCAAAAATTCAAAGTAGTTGAGTATTCCATAATAGCTGTTCAAAGATAAACATTTAGAGTGCAAGTTAGAGGTAGAGGAGAATTTCTAAAATTAGAAAATGTGGCTTTTATACTTGCCCACAACCCGATAAATGGAACAGAAGAGTATCGTCATGACGACGAACCATGTATTCCAGTTGTGAGTATTGTTCACTGTGGCGACACCAAGAAACATGAAAATGATTGTCTCCGAGCTACTCGACAGCATCTTCATTGTGTACTTGACGGTCGTGTGGGACTTGTGTGATATATTGGCCTCGACATAATTCTTCATGGTAATACCGCAGAAGGTTATTCTGGAATAAAAGTCGCGAGATATAGAATGAATAGCATGACAGTTGTCATTATTTCGAGGATTTTAAAAAGCATAAGCGGCAATCTTATCTGGAAAACGCGAGCAATTATGATGGAATAAAACGTACTATTTAAAGCGTTTTATTCGATGCTGTTTCATTTAATATTTCCTTTACGGCAAGTCTTTAGCGCATTTATTTCAATTCTTTTTAATTTTCAAACTAATAGAATAACGACATTCATTGATGACTTTTTATTTCACGATTAATAATATTTCTCGAATCATGATGAAGACCATCAAGAACTGTCATCGAGTCTATTAATCCTTTAATTTAGCGATGTTGCAATTATTTCTCGGGATTGGAGATGTTCAATACGCAATACGAAAACGATTATTTACTTACGCCAATATACCGGATAAGTGGAAGATCTCAGCGCTGAGGTAAGCCAAGTACGCCATCACGAATATGAAGATCGGCTCGATCACGCGTACCTGATAAGTAAATCTGGTCACGAAGCCAGTAGCGAAACCCCAAACTATACCTATGAACACACCGCCGATCGCCACCACCAAGAACGAGGCTAAACCCGATAGCACGTCCGTGTAGATGATCCTGGAGGTGCCCATCTCGCTGTACGTCTCGAACATGTGATAGAGCACCTGCGCATCCACATTAAATGGCCTTTTACTTCAAGTTGTTAACTTCAATAACCTCTGACACTTTCCTTCGCTAGCTTCGCATATACAGCGCGAATCTAATGGCCAGCGGATCGTTAGCAACCTTTCTCGCGTATCATTCTTACGTTAGCTCTGGCCTGGCTCCAATTATCGCGATAAAAAGAAACATTTTGCAAGCAACCATTTAATGATCCCGTAAGTACTATGAAAATATTTAACTATAAATATAGTACAATAATAGTCGGTGATATACTGATTTCATTTATTTATGGAATGTTTAGTCTCGTTATGTAATGAATAAAAATGGAGTAACCGAATGAAATTCCCGATGTAACCGATGTAAATTTGCCTAGCTGTTTTTATTTTTGGTTGAGCGATGCAGAGATACTTTTCGAGAGTTAATTGCCCGTGAACGATATTAATAATCGTCGAGGCGCCTGTGCATTTAGTCAAGTCGTCGCGACGATCGTGTTTACAAGCATTTGCATTATATCGTTTTGTTTTATTTAAATGAAGTCACAGATCACAGATCGTATGTTTCACTGGCAAATACGATGTTAATTTTTAAACGAGGCGAAGGTATTTGGTACTTGACTCGCGCTTATGGACAATGTAATCGATATTATATCGATCGCTCGGTTGACGAGTCGCTTGTCGTTTGGCGAAATCACAAGTAAGCTTTACTATTCTATCTTCATCTACGTATCAGATATTCTAATGTGGGGGTTTGACGGAAAAATATTAATCTACGTCAGTTTCAGGGTCAATCCTGAAGAGTGTGAGAAAAGCAAGAGACCGGGTCATATATAAAATGATATCGCGGTTATATTGATCTTATCTGTCTCTCTCCTGTCACATATTATTGATTATTTATATTCACGATAGTTCGCAATCACTGAAATAGTTAAAAATTAACCCTTTCGCGGATAGAGATATGTGCTTCACTTATTTTTTCTCTTTGCGCTTGTATTCAATTTACTTAATTATTTTATTTTACTTTTATAAAAATTTCTAAAAATTAAAAATGTTCTCGTGTTAGAGACATTTTTATTTATTATGTCATATTATGATTATTTGTTGTTTCAAAAGGAGAAAGAGTGGATATATCCCACTTTCCTTCTAATTATCTATTTATCGGACATAGAGAGATTCGCGAAAGTTGATTGGCTTTAATCTTCATCTCTCGGAGATCTTTAATAGTTCACGACAAAAAAAAAAGCAAAGATTCTTGCAGACTTATCGTACTATCTACGTAGCAAATTCCTTGGCATACACAAGATTGTGTAATATAAATTTAAATACATAATGTGATACTCACGACAGTGACCGCGTCGTTCAATAAACTCTCTCCGAACACGACGATGTAGAGTATCTCGTTAACATGGATCTCCTCGAAGACGGCCAACACTGCCACGGGATCAACGGCGCTGATCAACGCCGAGAATAGAAACATGTCGAGGATGGGCGTTTCACAACCGAATATACCGCTTTTCCCCAATAACCATAATGACGCACCTAAAGTAGATACAGCGTTTCGTCTAATAAGTACGCGCATCTGACATTTGATATTTTTACCGAGCCGGACTAATTATCGTCAAATTATCCTTCTTAATCCAATTTCAATACATCCGAGTTAATTGTCAATTTAGTGAGATTATTATTATACTATCGATTCGTGGAAGTCATTGAACGTTACCGCGATATGGGAGAGAAAGAGAAAGAGAGAGAGAGAGAGAGAGAGATTAATGTTGCCAAAGATAGAAATTTACATTATCGAATACCAGCGCCCCGCCCACACGTTATCGTACTTGTTAAGGCTTTCCTTCTTCGAGATATTAAGTCTTTTGAGAATTCAGGACGATTAGGTATTGTTTTTAATTTACTCTAATCGTGTACTTTAATTAAGACCTGCTTAAATTCATATTATCGATCGCCGCTATTGTTGTACTTAGACTGAGTTATATCTACTTGGAAGTTATGCATGACACGTTTCTAGAAACGTTTCAGTTAAGATTGTTAGAACTTATCGCAATAATTATGGTAAACGTCGTTAAAAATAATTATATCTGAATGTCATGTTTTATCGCGACCTTTATCACCCTTTTATCTTGCTTTGCGCTCCTTCAAGAATTATTATCGAGATTTTGTTTTCTGATCGAGAAATTTGTCTTTTTATATTTGTGTGTTTATTTTTATATTAATTAAGATTATAAGCAGTTATGATTTTGACATTTGGCAACATTTTAATGCCTGGTATTAGTTTTTATTAGAATCTAATAAAAAACGAAATTGTCATTAATTGCAACTATTTAACGTTTTTCTACTGCTGTGTGCTTATTAAATAAAATCCAATTATTCGAAATTAGAATTGAAATAATCGAAGATTTAATATAAATTAAGGCCACAAGAGCTAAAAATAAAATTTTTTTTTGCGTACGCGGGTAAAGCTTATAATATTCTATCTATTTACATAAAAAAGAGTAGTATAAAAAAGAATGGTTTTTGCATTCATAATTTATTCGTAAATGATCACACGAATAACTCTTATTTTATTTTTGTTATTAATCTTAGTTAGTCTTGGCGTCTCTCTTGTAATAAAAAGTAATTGCCTGAAAATATGACACTGACAATCTCTTTATATATGAGGTCTTAAATCCTAATCGATTATTGTGCCCGTTATTTCCCCCCGTCATATCTGCATCTCTTAACGAGATTTTATCGGACATTAAATTTTGATTCATATTTGATCAAACATCACGCCGGTTTTCCCTTTTTTAGCAGCGATAATTTCGCTCGAGATTATCATAAAGTCACCATCGAAATAATCACTCTATCGATCGTTGTGATAGAGTGATCATATACTAGAGATAATAATTATCACCGCGATGTGACAGTCACCATATAAACGCGAATAACGCATATGTTCCCGTGTATCATCGCGATATTCTCTTCGACGCACGCGCTATTTTCGTTCGCGCGTCCTTAAACTGCGTTTCCTTCTAAAGTCGAACATCTGCGCAAACAGAGACTGCGAAAACAGAAGCGAAGAATGACAATTCCATCGATTTCTGCGGAATCAATCGGCATTTTTACTATGTCTTCTTCACAAATAACAACAAATTAATTTATGCATGCATAAATTAATTGACATATTTAGTTTTCGCGTTTTATGATCATTTCTGTTATTACACAAAGTCTCGAAAGCATTGGTAATTTTGTATACAGATTGCATATTAAATTTAGATTTGATTCTTTTCTTTTACTTTTCGAGATCCATTTATCGTAAATTCTAAAGTTGATCCTCTATATTTAAATCTTCTATATTTATTAAGTCTGACTTAAGTTATTTTTTGGTTCTGTCCTGATAAGCCGTCATAATTTTCTAACAGTAGCAATCTTTATATTTCACGTCATTTTATGCCTGAAATCACTTTGATAACATACTCATCGTCAGTCAGTTTTGTCTCCGGGAATCCTAGATAGGTGGGTGGATATGTGTCTACGTTTCTAGGTGCGCAGACAATGTATGTGGGCGAGGCGAAATCGCGTCCGAGTTAGAACGACCGGCTCGCGTCGAGGGAAAAGAAATAATTCGAGTCGAAAATTTGCCCGGTGCGTCAGTTGAAAGCGCCGGCAGTGTCGTCGCCGCTTACCGACCTATCGACATGGTATTAAATATAGTTCCAAGGACGGCGAACAGCAGTATCGTTCCGAGATGGTCGAAGAACAGCCGATTGGGCATGAAGTAGCCGGCGTCCAGGATGATGGGCGGCAGCATGTACAGAAAGAACGTGTCGGGGGTCAGCGGTGACACGTGGACGCTGCTCGCCTGGAACAGCAGGAGACCGATGATCACGCCGACGGTGATCAGCAAGCAGGACTCCGGGAAGATCTTGCTGAGATTCGGCGTCATGTGGAAGCCTGAACGTCGAACGTCGAACGTCGCGTTAAATGTCATATTTTTGTTACTTAAGAGAAAACGAGAGAACCAGATTCTCGCAGAGTTCCGAATTCCGACGCTGCAAACTGAGAAAAAAAAAAAAAAATTATTAACTTGACTACATCCGTTCAACTAATTACCATTTTTTAAATTAAAATATGTAATAAGTATTTAAATCAAATATACGTCATATTCGATTTAATATGTCTTATTTGACTTAAATATTTAAATATTTCAATTAAAAAAATGGTAATTAGTTGAACGGATTTAATCAAGTTAACAATTTTTTTTTCTCAGCGTACAAACGTGAGAATGATCTTTAGCCGTGTTTACAGCATCGGAAATTGAATTCACCAAGAAATCTCGATCTCGATTCTCTCGTTGATAATGGCTGTGACCGATATGCGACAAAGATTCCAGCGGCAGGTGCAACGGGGTCGCGTGCGTGCCCTGCAGTTTTTTACACTCGGCACGATAATTCGTGGTGACCCGTTCCACGTGCGGCCGCATCGTGCTATATAGCACAACAATATGCGCCATTCAAGAATGTGTCGGATATTTTATGTTACTCGATATATATATATATATTTCTTTTCTCTTTTTTTTTGTGGAATCTTTGTCTCGATCGTATGCAACCCGAACATAATAAATGAGCCGTTGAATGAAACAGCGGTATAAATCACGCTGACTCATTGCCAAAAACAAGATTTGTGAAAGCATTCAAGTTCAGCTATTTTCATTTATATTTATATGATAGAGAATATTTATTGCAATTCTATAAAAAGAACAAAATCTGGAATTTTATGTAGAGAGTAGATGTGCAGGGTCATTTTTTTTTTCTTTATCTTTTTTGTTCTTCTCTCGCTTTTACTCGAAATTCTTTCACCGTTATTCACCATCGAACGACAGAAATATCAGCGGCACAGTTTGTTCTTCTTCGATTAACCACGTTTGGTCGCGTGCTTATGTGCTCTACGCGTGCATACGGCGCGAGTAAAATTGCACGGATCGGAGGGAAAAATTGCATCTATCTAGTACAATGTCATATTGCTCGGATATCCGGTAAATATGGAATATACGTTCGAGTTTGTCGGGCCATCGTTGTCGTGTATTAAACAAGGATGGGGCTACATATTACAAAATATTTCATTCTCAAATTTTTTGATGCGTCAAAGCTACATCTTTATTCATCGCAAAATGCAAAAAAAAATCGTCATCACTCCATCGAGCAATTTCTCAAGAGCTTGAAGGCGAACTCGTTATGTATTTTGCGCTGATTTATACGAAATGGATCACAGGTCAAATGTGTTGAAATGCAAATTTTTAGTCATATTTTCAATGCAATGAGAACTCTTTGTTCGCATGCCGCGCGAAAATATTTCTATGTATATTAAATTATTAAAAATGAATTTTATTGCAGCAAAAAAAGTGTAATGAGCCTTGCATAACTTAACGAGTATTGTAACTTGGTTTTCAATGACGTTTGTCACGTTTTTTGTTATGTAAGCAAGCGGAAAAATATGATGCGCGCTAATGTATTCGCATCGGAAAGCGCCACTACTATAAGAATTAACACTGGTCTGATATGCACAGGCAGATAATAAAAGTGTGACAGATGTATTTTTGATTATAACAATGGATGCAAAACATGTTTACAGTATAACAATTTTCAAATAATATGTTGTCTCTATCGTGATGTTTAAAATTATATTATATATTACATATATTTCATTGTTTAATTAATTGTCTCTAATTTTATCGCGCATATTAAAAATATTGATTTAAAAAGTTTAATTATGTAAGAATGATTTATAGAAAATTATAATTAGAAAGGAAATTTTTTTTCTTTTTAGCATCTTTTTATATATATTATAATCTATTAAAGAATGGCAGAAATCACGTTATATATTCGTAGTAAAAAACAACGGTATCTGGTTTTAAAAATTTGTTGCGCTCATAAAGAATAAAGATAAGTATACTGATAAGTATATTCGATTCCAATGTTTCGAGAGAAAATACATAGACATAAGAGATGTTGGTTCTTTCGAATCATATCAACTTTTACATAAGACTTTATTTGATTTATCAGAAATGTTTATCGCAAATGTCATATCTGCCTGTCATTACCTACAATAAATTTGTTTTCAAATATCAAAAAGCTTGTTGTTTACATTGAACGATATGTTCCAAAGAGACCAATCTCACGCCTACACGTATCTCTTCCCGATTATATTATCTCGAGAAAGAAAATAAATTTCGACTATTTTTCGCATGTATCATGCGATATTATATGTTCACTGATATATTTACCGATTTTTGCGAGACTGGCGAAGAAGATCCATATTCCGATGACGAACGGCGTCTCGACGCGCGGAAACTCGACGTTGATGATGTGGTACTCTGGCTTCGGTGACTGCTCAACGGCTTTATCCGAGGAAGAGTCGTCGGAACGCGCGGCGAGCTGCTGCGTGCCCTCAGGATGCTGCGCGGCGTCGTCGTCGCTGCCCGATGACAGGCTGCGCAGGGTGGCGTCGTTCGGCGAAGCCGAGCGGACGACCGGACCCATGGGCCCGAAGTCCAGGCCGGGATACGCTTTGTAGGGATCGCCGGAGAAGTCGTCGGCGTCGACCTGCGGCGCGGTATGTTTCTCCGCTGGGATCCGCTCCGCGGATCCGTACTCGTGGAAGCGCGCGAGCTCGGCGCGACCGCATCCCGGACAACAGAGCACGACGACGAGGAGCGCGGGGATGATCATCGCATCGATGCCCATGGTGCTTGGAACAAGTCGACGGGTCGAAGACGAAGACGACGACGACGGTGCTTCTGCTGTGGGCGGTTGTCCGCGTCGTCGTCCGCGTTCGTCCGTCGCCGGTGAGTCACTACTGTCACTCGCTGTACCATCAGAAAGGAACCACCACAACGGCGAGCACACGCTCGCGCGTTATACGAACTATCCCCTGCGACTGATTCCCCTAATCTCTCCGCGTAGCGGAACGACAGGGGCGGTTTTAACTTCGACGAGTCTCGTTCTACCCTCCGAGTGCGATCACACATATATACACATATATACAACCACCACGTCTCGCGCGTGTCCCCGTAGTGTGGTCGTTTCCTGGGTCACGCTATGTAGCAGAGCACGCCGATCCGCTTCGGGTAGAAAAATTTTCTGTCTTCTCTCGTCACACACAATTGTCGAAGACAATTAATTTTCTGTCTTTGTAAAATCTTACATAAAAGTTTTCTCTCAATGATAAATGATTTTATTTTATTTCGAGTATACTTGTCCCTCTCGTTCAAAAGCTAATATTGTTTTTGTAGTGACACCTTAAGGATACAATGTTTTTGAGAGAAACAAAACTAAACAAGTCTTGTTTCCTCGTGTGATTGCTCCGGCGATCAAGTACAGATTATGGCCGAAACAATATACGACAATAACAAATCGCGGCCGTATATCATTAAAACGTCAAATGCAATAATTAAGCGTGACTCACACCGCTTGGGCGCCAAGAAACATCGCGCGCTACGATGACAGCTGCTGCTGGCGCTCCATGTTCCTCGATGCGCGGAGCAGCATCGAAGGAACGGTGTCGTCAGAGTATAAGCACTGTCGTTGAGGATACACGCACCTGCCCCGAGATTGAATGAAGACTCAACTGCGATCGCGATTGTAGGAGCCAAGAACAGCAGCCTTTTTGGCTCGGAATCTTGGACTGTCCTCACGATTGGTTCTTCGAGCAAACGCGTATGTAAACTAACGCGACTCCGATACTCGCGCGGCACCGATCGCGACCGATATCGGACGACGAGGAAACGACGGGAGCGTTGCTGGTCGCGCGACGCTGCTCGTCTTACGCCCCGTTCACGAATAACGGCGACGTTCTCAAGTCTTGACGGCGTCGCCCGGCGGCGAGCGCGAGGCTGATCGACGCGCGGCCGCGGCGGCCCGAAGACGACGACGTGGTGGAGGGACAGGAAGAAACGTGACGATGATAACGCGAACGTGTCGCATTATGATAAAGTACAAGCGAACGATTCATCGAACCGAACTTATGGACGTCGCGCACCTTCGCCGGCGCACAGCAGCACCGTACGGTCGCGTACTGACGCACACTACACCGTCGTTGTGGTCGTGAACCGACGGCGACGACGCCGATAACAACGGCACTGCCCTCGTCGTCGACGGCGGCGGTAGGTATAACGAGGGATTCTGGATATAGGACTTGATATCTCTCTTCCCCTTTTTAACCCGGTCTATCTATCTTCGTCTTCCGTCGTCCGCTTTCTCCACGTCCCCTTTTCCCTTCGACTGAGTTCCTCCTCGTCGCTTCCACCCGATAGAGAAGCTTCCAACCAGCTGATCGTCGATGAAATCCGCGCAAGCGTCGCGACGCCCCGATATAGTCACCCTCGACGGCAACGGCGTCGAGAGCGTCCGCACGTTTCGCGCCGGGACGCTCGACACGCTACGCCGATGCGCCGCGCGCTCCCTTCTACGAACGAGTTTTTTTTCTGCCAGAAATACACACCGACGTTTCCCGACGTTATTACGTGGCTTGTTTGCGGTCGAGATTTACAGACCGTATCGCCGTTCTAAGGGTTTCTAGCGGCGTCGTAACGCGCGCGAGATACTTTCTCGTTCGAGGAGGACTCGCGGTTGGGGATGAAGAGCGCTTCGCCGGGGGATGGTTTTCTTACACGAACGGTTCACGCGCAGACGTTTCGTTTTACGAGGCGTCGGGATGCCTGGCGTCTATCGGTCGCGAAGCCCTGACTGACCTTAAACCAGAGTCACGTCGCTGTCGCCTGGTCTCGGAGACACCGACGTTTTGACCCTGACCTTGCCCGGCGGACGCGCCGGCATCGCTCGATGCCGCTCGCGGATCCGCTCCGCTCCGGTCGGCTTCGGAGATTTCGGCATATGCGCGAAAGAGCTTGTTTGAGCATCTCGCGCGGTGACGCGTATCAATCATCGCGTATTATCACGGCGACGCACGGACGCGGACGGTGAGCGAGGACTCTCGGTGACGGCTCGGTAATTATTGTGACGACGATATACGCGACGAATTAATCGGGACCGCGTTTTCTTTGCGTAAGACGCGATAGGAAATGTGCGGTTGGAGATAAGGATTTATGGCGCGGCTTCTATTTGCTTAAAAACAAAAAATTATCAGGGCGCCGAGTCCTTTTTCTCTCTCTTCCCCCCCCCCCTCTCTCTCTCTCTGTCTTTTTGTCTCTCCGACAAATTATTCCCGGTAGGAAAAGCGTCCGCTGTTTGCGAAACGATATAGAGAGACGCGCGACTCGCGACCGCATTTCTCCCTAGCTACTTTTCTGTCGCCCTTATCTTTTCCCTCGTACGTACCTCTCGACAACCGTCTGGCGTTTATCAAGATCTAACGGCTTATGGTAACCCCTTGTACGTTTTGTCGCGCGGCAACGAGAGCAAATCCACTCGGATGTAAAAATCGCTAACCCAAGTGCTGGCGTCTGAAAACACTGACGCGCATTTGACATACCGGAGATCTTTCTCTCATTCGATCTTTTCTGGTAGACGATTAATTAAACGACTCGTCTTAGGTTTTATGGCGGTTTAACTGTTGCAAGTGTCATCGTGTTCATCGTCGACGAATCCGTTTGCTTAATAAAAGTAGTCACTCGGCTGGAAAGTACAATCTATTTGATTACACTGCTGCTTGTGTGCATATGCCAGCATACGAGAAATCGCTTATTTATATAAAGATAAAGTACGATTAGCTGTAAAACGATAAGAAACGATCTGCTCGTCCTTGTGGACTTTCGTGCATGCTGTATGCGATGAAATAGTCCGCGGCTGTTTGATTTAGTGCACCATTATCGCGCTATCCGGTGGAAAAATCGGGACGAGACGATAAAAGTAACGCGAATCGCTCGAAAAATGGCTCCATCTTTGTTTCCCCATTCTTACACACGGTAATTCTTCGTCACTGTCGCTATTCCCATTAATGACGACAGATTAAGAAAATGGGTCGATTTCCCCTTCACAAATATTTTATGCGAGACTGTTATCTCGTCATTTAACGGCCAAGTCTCTCTCTTTAAATTCACCTGGTATTAACAAAAAATGTTATTTAACATTCTATTATATTTAATTCGCCGAAACGTCATTAAATTCATATTAAATTATTTTATAATTTTTTGCTACATATCATTTCGTCAAATCTGTCGGAATATATTTTTAATGGGAGCAGACGGATATCGTACCCTACATACTTATTTTCCTTTCGCCTCTCGTCGTCTCGCTCTCGCTAGCTCGCTGTTCGTGTCTAGCGGGTATCGATTTTATGTTTTACGCCACGTGCAACCTTGAATTGGTCGCGTTTTTCATCCTCGTACCGAGCACATAATCGTGAGATTATTTCCGCATCGATATCAAGTGAAAGTACGAACAAAATAACGAACGCGAAGGTGCGATGAAACTTGACAGATGACGATTATTCCTCGCGTTAGCGCGGTCTGCATGAATATGATGGATACCATATTTCGGTAATTACATGAAATCAGTAATTTCGCCATCATTAATATTCCTCACGGATAAGCGTCGGCCAAATGGTACTCTAATGAAGGAGGCAACATTGATCCACGTCGTATCGACGAGACGCTCTGCCCGGATTGCGAATTCACCCTTCCTCGTGTCGCTTACCGCGTGACGATTGTACGCGGGGTATTACCGCGGTTTATCCTGAAATTAGCCTGCTGGGTATCATTCCCGGGCGACGTTATACCTATCTACGTATCTACGGATAGAGTTGGGCTGCGCGAGTAAGGCAAGGGTTCGCAAACAACCCTGTAGGGAACGACCGCCGCTTGTTGCAACCGGGCACGCAATCGTAACGTACAACATTTCCCGTGCTCCATAATTTAAAGGGCATTCTGGACTCGACGGCGACGTATACTACACATAGTCGTGAGTTACGACCGCCGTATACTTTTAATCTGATCGAGCTTGGGGGAGGTGAATATACATATTAACAATGAATTCCTCGGTGATCATTGTACGCGCGGCTAGGATTTACAACTCGAGATATTATTGCACCTGAAACATATAAGATATTTGCTTACAAATGGTGTATCGCGCAAGTAAAATAACAATAGACGTATCCACGTAAACACATTTATGTATATGCCCGCAATTTCTCTTTTGTATATATATGTAAGTTGGATTTCAGTTATATAACATGAGTTATATTTCTAGCTATATATTTTTCATATACAAGATTACGTAATCAAATATGGAGAGTTTAATGTATTCTTGTAATACAAGAGAGCAGGATTTTTCATTCTAAATCTTAAATATGTATCGACAAATGTATGTCCATATTTTCTATAAAACTCTATATGTATATGTATATATACGGTAGGGATACAAAATATATAGATAAATGCAACTTTTCCAATCGGATATAAAGCCGTGAAATCCATTAAATTTATAACATTTTTGAGAGAATTAATACAGAGTATATCGAGTTCTACATGGGATATATCGATGATGGTTTTTCAACGATCAGCGCTTTCCGCTCCAATATTCTCTAATGCTCTAATGCTCTGAAGAGATAACGTGTGAGATTTAATGAAGTCGCGAATTATTTCGCGTTTGCCTTATTTCTTGTCTCTATTAGATAAGATTGAATGGTGAGAGAACTTATATATCCCCCGATGCGCGGATGAGCTTCTACGTTATTTAGAGGGCAATACGCTCGTGGATCGCTCGATGATACGAAAGAGGTAACGACGGCTCGGTCGACGTTCCGTTAACTGCGAGGCAACTTCGTCACCCCCATCGCTCGCTTTCCGTCCCCCGATGCGAAAGGCAGTGACGAGGGTGAACGAGGGTTCCACGCGAGAGTGGTGTAGAGAGAAACGTGCAACGAGTCGCAGGAGGAGAGAGAGAGGAGAGAAGCACATTGAAAATAACGATATTCTTGCGGAGCAAAGTCGTGGCTTGAAACTGTCGGCGTCGGCGAAACGATCGACGGCACGTCGCGAAATTCTCGGTTATCGGCGACGCCCCTTGAAAGAGTGACGGCGAATGTTCGAATGACAACTCGTTGCTCATTGCATATTAATGTATCTATCCCGGATGGGCGCTATTTATATAATCGTAGCGCGGTCGTTTCGACGCTGCGCGCCCGCATTGAGATAGATAGAAAATGCGCAGGCATAAGGCAACATCTTTTATTTATACAAGGAAGAATTCGAGTTCGTTAACTCATTCGATCGCGATTCTCTCCTATAATTAGAATTATTCACGGCAAGATTAGGCGGGGAAGCTTATATACTCTTGAGTATATCCGCGTCAGAATTTATTAAGACGTTTTAGGACATAGAGAAAATTCGTTTTGCTATTTTCGATATTCGACATTTTTATAACTCGCGTGATTAGACTGGCGATTTTTGCTTCCCTTTAATAATGTTTTCGAGTGAAGCAAGATTTGATCGCTCTGAAAGCAATTAAACCCAATTTTCCATAAACATATGTTTGACCGAAAATGGGTTTTGAATCTGATCTAATATAATCTAATATAAATAAAATAATCTAATATAAATAATATATTAATAATATAAATAATATAAAGTACATATCGCTATTTTGACTTTAAAGCACAAGATTTTTTGCCCTGATTAATCAATCAAACGCTAACTCGAAGTATTTCATTGATTAATCTAATAAAAAATACCTGTAATCGCCTAAGACGGAGTTTATAACGTCATTAATCGCTCTCAGAGCGATTAAATTTGCTTCACTCGAAAACGCTATAAAAAACATCGGGTTGAAACGATTGTAACGACGAAACGGCCGGATCGATCGTATCGTGATTTTATGATAAATTCACGGTTCACTGCGATACATACGGTCTGCTGGATAATTCGCGGCAAATTCCCGAATGAATCGTAATTAAGATGTTAAACAAATGCCGAACGCGGTGCCAATGGATTATTAATCAGCCTGCTATTCATTCGCACGATCGCGTTCCCTATGAATTCAAAATGAGATCGCGTTGCCTCCCTTCCCCCGCGATCATCATTCGCTTACTGTACCATAATCCTACTGTGTGCCGGATGTGACAAGCGCAAAGATAACGCCGCTGATTAACAAACGAAAGAAAAAAAATTGGCCGCGTGCGAGAAAAGTTTGGGAACTTTTTACCTCTTCTTATTTTCAACGAGATTTCTTCCACGGCTCCGGTCTGTCGTACAATCAAATGCATTTCAACGTGAACGACCCGCTGCCTTGGAGCTGAAACGCACCATCGATCTTCCCGCGTCTCACCAGAGACCTTTCAGGTTTATTGCAGCGTAAATAGGACCTAGGAAAGGATCATTTACCCGGCGCACACCGCCAAAGGAGCGACGTATATTCGCTCTCGCTCTTGCATTCGCGGTGCGTGTTGGCGCGATTTACTTACGACGGAACATTTATCGCGCGGAAATTCACTAGCTTGGCACATCGCGGGTAATTCAATCAGGGGAGGAGGGGAGGATAGGTGAGTGTAATTAGTTTATTCGGAAACGCAGTACATGTATGTATGACGACAAGTGTCCGGCATGAATTTAAATTTCCCGATGTAAATGTGTCGTAACGGCACAAATATTCGTTTGTCGATGCCATTTAATGGACATGCAGCTGTACGCGTAGATGCAATAATGATTAAAGTTATTTATATTCCTGACGAGGAGTCGGAATCTAAATTGGGACGTGGCGTGGAGTGACGAGGATTTACGGTCGGCTTGATTCTGCGGAGAACGCGGATGACGAGTAACAAAGCTGATAAAATTGCATCCGAGCTTCGATTTTAAAGTTTCGAAGATTATTGTTTCGTTTTAACTCACTGTAATTGGACATAAACGCCGGACCGAAAGCTGCAAAATAGACGCGCGAATTCGATTTAATTAAAATTAATATTACCCGAAAGAAAAGGGATTACGTATTACGTAAACCGTCGGCTGATCATTAAGGAGTCTTTCTAGTTTGACATTCTGAAAATAAGGCGATTTTTGGGAATTTTTTAAAAATAAAAGTATAAAACATATTAATTATAAACTTTGCACGTTTATTAAATAACATTTCAAGTATATCTTGAATTTTTTTTTCAGACAAAAATGTTTCGCAGTTATAGTAATTCAACCAGGGTATCTAAAAATAAATTGTTCGCGGCGAACATGATTCCAGCCGTTATAGTAATCTGAAATAAAAAAATCAAAAAGATTCTTAATCTGTATGAGTGTGGCTATTGCATGAACTAGAATAAAAAAATATTGAAAAATAAAAAAATGGCGGCGTCCCAAAAAAAATATCATTTTTCAAAAAATTGATTAATTTTATAAGTCGCAAAATTCGAATTTTGCAAATATTGATTTAATTCTAGTTCATGGCTTGTTCACCACGAACAACAATTTTTTTTTTAGACACCCTGGTGGGACTACTATAACTCCGAAACAAACAAATATTTTTGTTTAAAAAAAAATTCAGGATATATTTGAAATGTTATTTAATAAACGTGCAAAGTTTAAAATTAATATATGTTTTATACTTTTCTTTAAAAAAAATCGCCAAAAATGGCCTCAGAGCGTCAAACTAGGAAGACTCCTTAAAAATCGAACAATTCTTTCAGAAAGTTGCTTAGAATCGCGAGTCTATCCAGTTCGCTATAAATTACATATTTCTATCGGTCATGCAATCAGTGTATAAACATACGTTTCACGCCAATGTATTTATACAAGCCACGTAAGCGTATTACTATGGTACGAGACTCTGTTCATTCTACTTTCTTGCATTACATCGAGGTGGGCGGCAACGATAAATAATCGAGGATATCCGTACTCCTCCTGTGTATGATGCTCTTCATGTAAGTTATGTTCGCATATTTTTCTGGCGGATAAAAACTGAACAATATCTATGCTGCCGACAAGTCGCGCGTTCATTGTGTTACAGCGTTACGTTTTAACTGCTGTACCAGAAATAGCAGGACGAGACAATATTTTTATATCCTAGATCGATCGTTCCTTTTATTTATAAATGTTTTTCTCTTATTTCTTTATTAAAATAAGGAAGTTCTATATACGTACACATATCGTGGTATAGACATATAGAAATATAAATTTATATATAAAAGCACTAATATGTAAATATTTGAAAGAAATAATTAGATTAAATCAAGATGTATGAGAGATAATCTAATTACAATTATCTATCATTGAAAAATTAATCGCAATTATTTATCGAGATAAAGTTCAGGAAGAGAGACAAAATATACAAACACTCTAAACAAGAAACAGAGCGTCTCTTGGTTCAAATAGACACTCGAATAAAATATACCGATACAGAACAGCTAGACCTGCAAATAGACAAACGGATAGAGAGGTCGGTCTGATAGAATATCGATAGCGGCATTTCTGGAAAAAGGACAAAAAAAAATACATCGCGCACTACAAGACCGCCCGCCACGTAAGCAGGAGCGCGTTTATCCTGCAAATGCATACATCTACACAGACAGAGAAAAGGGGAATGATGCGGGGCGTTAGCGGAAAAGGGGAACTGGCCTATCGAAGGGGGGCCGGCTCGGGGTTGTTCGGAATCTATCGGTGGACCAGATTTTACTCGTACGTACGCACATTCACCCCCGCGGCGCCATCGGGGATGCGTGTCGCTTTGTACGTGTATATGTGTGTATATATATATATATATATATATGTGTGTGCATGCGTCCCTTCGTATGTATCCGATGCTAAGACACGCTCAACATATGCGGGGGCGCAAGCGCGGTCTCGCACGCTTGTGTTCGCGCACTCGCGACGCGCGCGTCGTCGGCTCCGCGCCGTCGTCGTTCCGCGAGGAAATTGATTCTGCGCGAAACGCAACGGGGGGTTCCAGCGGCGGCGGAGCCAGCCGTGCAACTACCAGAGAGAAGCCGGGCTCGGCGGATCGCGCATATACCTCTATCCGGGTACTATTCGCGTAATCGCAAACGTAACGCACAGCCGACGACCCCGAATCATCCGGCGTATTATATAAGGGAAAATGTTGCCGGCTTTGTCATCGTTCTCCTTCCACGCTACGATCACCCACGTCGTGCTGGCTGCTGCTGCTGTTGAAGAGCTGCACGGATAGAAAGAGAGAGAGAGAGAGAGAGAGAGAAGTCCGGAGAGGTGCCTCTCCGACGACATGCGAAGAGACGCGTTCGATGCGACGACGATAGACGACGAGCGAGGATCGCAGACAACCCTAGTCAGACACGTCGACGAAGACGACCGACGAGAGCATCCATGGAACTGAAAATCCTGCTGTGGATTCACATCGTGGGTAAGTTACAGCCTTCTCGCGACGCGCCTTCCAGTCGTCACATCATCCCTGCATCCCTTACTTACACTCATACACACGCGTCGTTTCTCGGCACGCGTGCAACACGCAGAATCTCCCTTATCGCGTCCGGTAATGTTGCGGTTCTGTCGCTATCGTCAATGACAGACGGACAGGCAACTCTCCGAGACTATCTCCGGACGCTTTCGTGTCATAAAAATCGCGTGTCTCCTCGCTCTCGCTAGTTGCTTTACACGTTCATCGCCACGATAGGCGGTATATCCGGTATAGATCCGTCCTTGTAGCTGTTCCTGTCGACCGAAGCGGATTGCTGGCACCCCCGATGGCTATCGATGAATAGATTGCACGTACAAAAGCCTTTCGTTTCTATCGCGATGGACCATTTTCGCGTAATCAACGGCGCCTTAAGTTTCGAGTCACTGCAAAATCTAAAAATAAATTAAATTTAAGTTATATACAAATATTTCATTGAAAAATGAGAATGTTTGCATTTAACACGTTTCTCTATGTAAATTTGCGAGCGGTTGCGCGAACCGGTGGTATAAATTTTACATGTGCACCCACATATTCGACTTTTCGATTAAATTATTACTAATAAGTTATTACACAATAAATTTATTATGTTGGGATTAAATCAAATCGCCGATATTAAGCGTAATTAAATTATTGCATTATTGTGTAAAGGTGCGTTGTATGCTGTATTTCAAACTATAAAAAATTCAAATCGAGAGAATGACTGTACGTTTCTATCATTATAATTTTGTTCCGTCGCGTAAAACACACACCCGAGCGTTCCGGGTCACAGACACTTTTTTACGATATGTCAAGAGAAACTTTCCCCATTACGGGTATTAGTTATAAAGTGCATGTATATATGATACGCGCGTTGGATTGCAAAATCGTCGTGAGTATATAGGTAACGCGATGCGAACGATGTAGGGATGAATGTCGAGCGTTTGTCGGATTGTCGGGATTTTCCGGCTCGCAAAATGGATTTCGCGTCTCTACGTATGAAACGCGAAGGGCGTTGTTTCGCGACGAGACAAACTGTAAAAACTGTTAACGGAGACACGCGTCTCGGAGATGATGGAAAAGGGATCCTTCTCGCGCGCGAGCGTTGAATTAGCGGGAGAGCCATCAACGGCGGATTCGAAGGACGTGTCGTTGACGGCGGCTCGTTGTCCGTTCGCCGTAAAACGTGCGGGCGTTCCCCTTAATGAGGCATTAACGAATTTAACGAATTCCCATTTCGACAGTATAATCGCATTAATGGCATTCCGGCGAATGCCGGATTTTACGACACGCAGCGGAGAGCTCTCCGCGGATGAAATCGCGCTCCGACGATCTGCCGCCTCGACAAGATCCTTTCTCCCTCTTTCTCTCTCATCTCGTTGATATCTTTCTTCCCTAGACTCAGCGAACAATCGAATATTCGATCGTCTTGAAACTTTGCGGAGTAATCCAATCTTCATTCGCGATTCTTCTTCGCTTGTAAATGGAAGCTGCATACTTGCCGCCGTGCGCTTGTTTTTTTTTTAAATGTATACATATATTTTAAAATAATCTCTCTATGGCTATGGAAATTATAAATCAATGGATCAATACATTGATAAGCCAAAATTGAATAATTCAATCTTCATTTGCAATTCTTCTTTGCTTGCTCCTTTTAAAAATGTATATATATATTTTAAAATAGTCTCTCCATGGAAATTATAAATCAAATGGATCAATACATTGATAAGCCAAAATTATCAAGAAATTATTATCGACAAGAATTGGTAAAGAGCATATCCTGTGTGCATCGTATAACGAATTACAAACTGAAATCGGCGAATTAAGAGTTTAATATTAAAGATACGTGTAAATATAATAATTTTGAATATTCGATTGTCTTGAAATTTTGCGGAATAATCCAATCTTCATTTGCAATTCTTCTTTGCTCGCTTCTTTTAAAAATGTATACATATATTTTAAAATAGTCTCTCCATGGAAATTATAAATCAATGAATCAATACATTGATAAGCCAAAAATTATCAAGAAATTATTATCGACAAGAGCTGGTAAAGAACATACCCTGTGTGCATCGTATAACGAATTACAAACTGAAATCGGCGATTTAAGAGTTTAATGCTAAAGATACGCGTAAATATAATAATTTCAATGTTTTTTCGTTGCAATAATAATGAATGATACAAAATGATACTTTTGTTGTTTCTTTTAATTAAATTTAATTCACTAAAATTATAACAATTTCTAACTAATAATAACGATTAATAAATAAGGTGTAAAATTTTGATATTTTACATTATCGTTTATGTCATGAAAACATATACCTGACGTTAACAAAATATCACTCTCGAAAACGAGCACCGTACAAGTTGATCATTGAACGGATGCAAAATTCGATATTAAATGAGATATCTCTCATGTCAAGCATTAGCGTGATATTTTTCACCTGCGGAAATCTATTGTATGAAAAATGAATTGCCTTTTCTTCTCTTTTTTGAGAAAACGATAGATCTTTGCCGCTATCTATACGCGCGTACGATTCACACAATGCAGATAATGACGCGGTGCTCGCAATTGTTCCGTTATTAACGTTATCTCGATTTATCGGCTTTTTAGAAAAAAAAAAAAGATAGTGGAATTCCAGATAACACTACAATTCGCGGAATCCCAAATCAAAGTCTCGCGAGGCGACGTGTGCTCGTCGACGTGATTTCGTTCGATCGTGCGAACCTTTGCCGGCACAAAAGATAAGCACCCCTTTGGAGCTCACGGGAGTGCGAAACGTCGAAGCGATACGGGCCCCAGTTTCTCTCTCTCTCTCTCTCTCTTTCTCTCTGCAAACGCGATTTTCGTCACGCCACATCGCTCGGTAGCTAATTAAGCCGATCGCTCTACCGAACGTCATATCCGTTTTGCGAATCCGTTCGCGCGATTGTCCGATCGAGCGAAATCGCATTCATTGCGCGAGAGCAGTCCGTTAAACCGAGCGTATCGCCATTAGTGTAAGCGAATTAAGCCAAGCTCGTTCCCGTATCTCGGCATAGAATATTTCGAATCAAGTCGCCGTCTCTCGAGCAGACTGATGCTATTCACTTCGCTATCGGATGGATGAAAACGATTGCGACAGACGACCGATGTTTGCGCATACCCTTTTCTTTTTATTTTTTTTTTTTTTTTTTTTGCAAAAGACTACAACGCGTTCTATCTCCGCAACGAAAAATTCTCTCAGGTGATTCGAGTAAACTCGGCTCGTTAAATGTTCCAGCCTTAATCGTCGTCGCTCGAGAGAGTGCTACGTCGTCGTGCGTGCTTATCTGTTTCTTTCGCACGACGGCACGTACGTCGCTTTCAGTCTCGACGCGACGATAGCGGTCTCGAGTAGGGCGGGTAGTCATCACTTGAGTCTTCCGCTCTTTCTTCTTCGTCAGTCTTGTCGCAAATCTGCTTTTTATTAACGACTAACGACCGACTGGCGCGAGAGACTGTTCTCCCGTGGTTTTGTAACTAAATACCCGTAAGCTCTCCGTAAAGTGCCTCTGAACGGGGAAGGGGGATATTACGCCGGGATCGTCACACCCTTTAATGCGCTGGGGCAATA